TCTGAGGATATGAACCAACCAGGAAGACATGTGAACAATTTAAGACGAGATTCTGAATAACACAATACAATGGCATGTTTGATCTGATGCCCACAACATTCAGAACATTCAGGGGAACCACCGCAGATAATGGACAAATAATGAGGCTTCTTTGGAAAACTTTCTTTAAATTCCCATTAATAAGAAGTCGGGACTCTTTCCTGCGTTAAAGGCGCATCCAAAATGAAAAAGGAAATGGGAAAAAAATGATGAGACGTCTGCAGTTCTATCGTATGATTTTGTAACACAGTCTAGCCACGAGTTTCAGAGTGATGAGAAATAATGACTGTTGCCATAGTGATTTAAAACAAAAATGAAAAAAATACTACACGCTGAATGGGTAAAAAGTCTCCAGAAGTCTTCTTGAGCTCATAACTGGCTGTTGCCGATACCGAATATTTGCCGATACTGGTATTAGAATTTAAAAATCTAGAGCAAGGACCAAAAATGTATGTTTAAAAATGACTCTTGTGAGCTTTAAATCCATGTTAGAATGTTGTTACCTCTTCAAAAACAGACCTGGAGTTGTGTTTTGTTTCATTCACACATGTTTGAGTAACTCTTTATTATTAGTCTCTCTACATCTACAAAGCTCAAAATGCTCTGTTCCACCTTGTGATGTCATGAAGTGGTAGTTTTCAAGTTGATAGCTCCTTTTACCGTTAGTTCAGTAGAGATTGGCAATTCCAGCACTGAAATGATCCAAATGATTCTAGTGAAGGTGTATGGAGTTTAAAAACACAGTGGAGCACTTCCTGTATTACCACATGACATCACAAGGTGTCTGATTGGGTAGTGTCATCACAAGGTTGTTTTGTCTTCTGTTGTCGGGTTCAGCTTGTGCTTAAACTCAGTTTTGCCAACGCCACTGAGCAGCTTTCGGGTGTAATTTCCAGTAATGTCCAGGACTGAACCAGGACTGAACCAGGACTGAACCAGGACTGAACCAGGACTGAACCAGGACTGAACCAGGACTAAAACAGGACTAAAACCAGGACTGAACCAGGACTTAAACCAGGACTAAACTAGGACTAAAACATGACTGAACCAGGACTTAAACCAGGACTAAACTAGGACTAAAACAGGACTGAACCAGAGCTGAACCAGGACTAAACTAGCACTAAAACAGGACTAAAACAGGACTGAACTAGGACTAAAACAGGACTAAAACAGGACTGAACTAGGACTAAAACAGGACTAAAAACAGGACTGAACTAGGACTTAAAAGGGACTTAAAAGGGACTTAACTAGGACTTAAACTAGGACTAACTAAAACTAGGACTAAAGCAGGACTAAAGCAGGACTAAAGCAGGACTAAAACAGGACTGAACTAGGACTAAACCCAGGATTGAACCCAGGACTAAAGCCAGGACTCCAAGCAACCAGCTGATGACGCTACCGAGAATGCTTTGCTCCCTAAACAAATATGAACTACTATTGATAGTTTTTCTCCTTTTTTTTTTTTTTAAAATAAATATACTACAAACGAACATATTTGAGTTTTTACACTAGCGTTAATGGTCTAAATCCAGCATGTCAAAGTAGCCAGGGATCTTTTTAAACTTGTGTGAATGAAACAAAACATAACTCCAGGTCTATTTGTGATGAGGAAACTACATTATAACTTAGATCAGAAAATACTGTAATTTAAAGCCATAATATGCAGCCTTTTCTTGCCTAAATAGACTAAAATAAAATGTTTTTTGTATCCATGGAAAGGTTGTTTCTTTGGCTAAAATATTCCTCAGTGTAAAACGTATCTAACTCTGTGGAGAATCTTCCAAAAACTTTCTATTTCCACAGAATCATGCAGGTGACTTGACACTTTTAAGATGTTGCGTTTTTAACAGTTGCCCAGAACACAGTAATTTCGACAAATGAGTAGAGGTCATCGAAGAATCAGAGTTCTTCCAGAGGGTGGCGCTGTTGCCTCCAGGCCTTGACATGTGGTTGTAAACAGTTATTTAACCTCTCATGTAAATCCATCACTGTCCCCTTCTTCCTCCTCTTCTCTATACTTTAACATGTCCTGGAGTCTTCCTCGTGCTTCCTGCTTCGTCCTTCCTGTCTTTTCTTGGGTATTTTAAGTACATGTTTGCGTGTTTATTGACCATTTCCAGTTTAGTTTAAGGACAAGGCGTGGTGACGGTGATTCAGAGGGCAGTTACGATGTCCTGGAGGAGCTGTACTTTTTAAGATTTCCCTAAAATGTGTTAAAACTGGGAATTGACGTAAAAAAAAAAAAATAAAAAGAGAGGGAGTTATTTTCACCTTTGGTATTGTGCGTCTGTTTACAGTTTCCTCAAATCTACGTGACAAAGTTGGTGTCACTGTCCAGTCAACGGTTCAGGAAAAGCATTAAGCACACATTCTAGTATTTATGGGCGAGTTCCTGTTATAGGCGCCATTTTGAGGACCATTTGAAAGATGTTTTGATTTCATTTGCTAATATCCATGCCAGCTGTCTGAATATTTTATCACTCTTACTCTACTTTGTTTGTCATTGCTCTGCTTGGAATGTTCCACAGTATGCCATTAAACAGCCCTATTTTACATTCATTCAATCACAGGAGGTTTTAGAGCTCAAAAATACCTAGAAAAACATACTGAGCGAAGTCGCCTCTCCACAGATCTGACTCGTAACTTGGCCCTGTTTGGTCTCTATGAACAGGGCAGCCGCAAAGTCTTAAAAGTCTTAAAAAGGACTTGAATTTCATGTTCCTAAATGAAGGGCTTACAAAGTCTTAAATTATGTTGTTCAAGTCTTATTTTTTTCACAAAAGTCTTAATTACTTTTTGTTTACTCAACCAGGCTGCAGTGCGATGTGAAACGGAGGAAGGGTAAAAAAAAACAACGTGAAATAATGTAACACGAATGAATGTCTAATTTGGAGTATGAGCAAACAATACTTTGGTTTTTGGCGTCAGTTTTGTCTACACTGCCCAAGACGCAAAACTCTGATCAGATCTGCTCACGTCACATACATCACCACCGAGCCGCCTGGCATGCAAACCCAATCGAATTCAACACCCTTTTGCGTCATCATATGCCCACAGATTTCCTCCTGAAAACACTCATCTAAACGTGGAATAAAAAGTGAAGATGCAACGGCACTTTTTTGTCTTCTGTTCAGACTGTCATCATATAAACGTAGCTTTAGATTCTAGATATAGTACCGTAATTGTTTGGTCATTATTAGAATTAGACCTGGTGTTTTTCGCTCGCATAATGGGTGTGACGTTGGTCTTAATTTTCATTTAAGTGCTCTTAAATTTGGGGTAGTCACACCTGGGGATACCCTGATGAAGATAGAAAGCTTTAATGCTATACTGAGAAACATTCAAGACATGGAGAGTTGATGTACCTGCCACCAGAAAAGTTACACAATGCAGCTTTAAATTAATAGATGCAAATGCACTGTCAGCCCTCCAATTATCGGTATATTGGGCAATTTTTCTAACCAAATCCCAGTATACCAAACCACAAGACCAAATAGAACTGCACAATATTGGAAAATTTACCGTATTTTCCACACTATAGGGCGCTCTGGATTATAAGGTGCACTGTCATTAAATGGTCTATTTTCGAACTTTTTTCACAAATAAACTGCACCGGACTTTAAACAAAACACAACAGTTAGACGGGTCAGTGGTTTTGTTTGTTTGTGGCGTTCACGTTGACTCTGGGCTTTGTTCAGTTGTGGCGTGTAGGGAGGGTGCTGTCTGGGACCAACGGATTGTCAGTGTGTTCACAGTGACTCAGTTGTTCAGTTGTGTCTAGAAGTGGCACTTTGCACTCGCTTTTTCGGTTTGTTCCCCTGTTCCGTTCCTCATCTGCGTGGAGTGATGACTGCGGGTGGTGCGACTTTGTAGTTTACTGAAGTCGTGCTGGGACACCCGAGTGGATTCATGTATAGGGCGCTCTGGAATGTGGGGCACAGTCATTTTTTGATGGGGTTGGAGGCATATGAGCGCGCCCTGTAGCCCAGAAAATACGGTAAATTCAAATTAAAGAGAAGTAAAGAAAATTATCTTTTTTCTTTTACAGGGTAGCCGCAGGGTCTTTAAAAGTCTTAAAAAGGTCTTAAATATCATGTTCCTAAATTAAGGCCCTAAAAATGATGTTGTCCAAGTCTTATTTTTTCACAAAGGTCTTAAATTTCATTAGCCTATTTTTTTGTATACTCAACTCAATCTTAAATGGAGGCAGGAAAAAAACACAACATCAAATCACATAACGGGAATGAACGTCTAATTTGAAGTATGCGCAAACAATACTTGGTTTGTCTTGTTAGAATGTTTTAAATAAATTTTTGGCCATTTTACAAGCAACACATCCTACAATAAATGAATTCTGAATGAGATTTTATAATGAAAGTATTTTTTGTTATTTAAATCAGTGGGTAATGGTCATTATTAGAATTGGATCTGGTGTTTTTCGCTCACATAATGGGTGCGATGTTGGTCTTAATTTTCATTTTAAGTGGTATTAAAGTCTTAAATTTGGGGTAGTCAAACCTGGGGATACCCTGTTTTACTGGCCATACCTGCGCCGACTGCTCTGCACTTCTTTCTCCATTTTAATTTTCTTAATCGGTGATACATGTAGGATTCAGTAGCGTCACATAGTCAGTTTGGTCCAAATGGAAAAAAAAACTAAAAATGCTCTAGTGTGACATGTAGTATGCGGCGCTTTGGTGTCATGACGTTTACAGCGACGTCAGCTTCCATTTGGCACCATGGTTTTCCAACACATGTGTTATTAAGTCGTTTTAGATCAATACTGTGATTTAAAACGTCCAAATTATAACTGAATCCACGGGTGTCATAGATTATAACTTTAGAGCACACACAAGCAACATATGTCTACTTTAACCATTAATATTCTACTTTTTGAACAGCTTTGGAGTTGATATCAAATATAAATGTATGTGTTGACCTCTGTGTCCGACCCTCTCCAGGCTCAGCTGCAGCGGTCCCTGGACAGCACCGTGTCCGCTCACCCGAGGCCTCTGATTGGACGGCGGAACCGGAAGGAGCTGGCTGCTGCCATGGCGAGCGCGGTCCAAAATGGTGGCAATCCATTTTTAGAACAAGAGTCCGGGATCTTAGACGAGGATGAAGAGGAGGAGGTGAGACGATGTAGCACTTTTACTTTTTCAGTTGGAAACCTGATATAGATGCAGATTGTATTTAAAGTTCAAAAAACATTTTCAAAGTTGCTAAATGTTTTGTCTTTTTGTGCAGGTGCCTGGAGCTCAGGAGCTGGTGGACTTCTCTCCTGTTTATCGCTGTCTCCACATCTACACTGTTCTGGTGAGAAATGGATTCATAACTACATAACAATAAACTGGAATATTTTTGAAGTGACTATTTGCCATTTGCAACAAACTTCTAATGAATCTTACGTCTTTACTGTTAATGAAACGTCTTATTAAATTATATTTTGTCAGGCAACTAGAGCAGACAGGTCCGTTGCCCATTTTCCTGTCTGGGAGTGAGTTTACAGGAGACATTATGCAAAACTGACTTTTATAAATTGTTTTCCCTTCTCAGCTAAACTGGCAGTATGTGGAGGACTAAAGGGTAGAGTGAGGGGGGAGGAGGAGCGGGGTCTAGAGGTATAATGAAATCTGTGATTGGTCAAACAGGTATCCACATTATGGCTGTACCGTATTTTGCGCACTATAGGGCACTCTGGATTATAAGGCGCACTGTCATTGAATGGTCTGTTTTGAACATTTTTCACACATAAACCGCACCGGACTATAAGGCGCATTAAATGAAACACAACAGTTAGATAAGTCAGTCAAAATGTATTTAATGCGTTCACAATAACTCTCAACTTTGTTAAATTGTAACGTAAAAAAAAAAAATGTCTGAGATGCTAAATTGTTAGTGTATCCACAATAATTCAGAATTGTAAGTAAGTAAGTCTTTATTAATATAGCGCTTTTTACAGACATTTGTCACAAAGATGCTTTTACAGAGCATTTATAGATTCAGTATTCTGTTTCTCCACACCCGGTCATGGTAGTAAGTGTGTCTCTTGACAGGTGACATTTTGATATTAAAAGGAATCACAGTATGTATTACTCCGCGATGCTTCTGACTACGGGAGCCGTAATGTTGCAAGTGGTGCGGCTTTGTAGTTTACTAAAGTCATACTAAGACACTTTAGCACACCTTATATATGAATAAATTCATATATAAGGCGCTCTGGATTATAAGGTGCGCAGTTGTTTTTTTGATGAAATTAAAGGCTTTTAACTGCACCCTGTAGTGTGGAAAATACGGTAATCAGGGCAGTTCTGTGTGATGTCACCAGCTACTGGAAATTGCAGAGGCCACTGAAGGAAAATTTTGCGATATGTGTGAGTTCACAAACTCACGAGAATCCATTTTGACGGACTCCTGTTGAAGGACTCTCACTGAAAGGTTAATTGGGCGGGAGGACCAATCACATCGCAGCATTGAGGTTTGGGCGGATCCAAAGGTGAAGAGCCCAAACGGACCAAAATGAATATGGCAATGTAGACAGATGTACTTCAGTCTGTTTTAGCATCAATATTCCAGGAATATTTAGCTTGTGAAAAACGTGCAGAGGGAAACGCTTTGTGCATTTGTGGACAGGGGAGATGTCTGTGCTTTTCTCTCAACTGGATTTAACTCAGGTTTGATTTGACTTGTTCTGCTGTTTTCACTCTTCGACCAGATTCAAATAATCATCAATAACTGTTTTCTGATCACTTTCAAAGAGAGACATCCCAAATTCATGTATAGAACTAATTTCAAAGTGACACACATTAATTAATCTGTCATGAACCCGGTTAACCGAAGCAGTACAAACTTGGATTTATGCATTTTTGACCAGAAAGCTGCAAATTTACCTACTTTGCCTCGACTTTAAAGGTGCATTGTGTAACTTGTCTGGTAGAAGATCTGTCAAATATTTGTCTCCATGACCAAAGCAGACCAAGTTACAGGTCAGATCTGTGGCGAGGTGACCCCGCTCACAGTCAGAATGCCTGTTTTTTCTAGGTATTTTTGAGCTGTAAAACCACCTGTGATTATAGATGTAACAATAACCAAAATATCGTGATATCGTATCGTCAAAGTTTTCACAGTAATATCGTGGACCCTCACAATATGTCAAATTACAAGTCTCTTTGCTTAAATTAAAAGTTATGGTGCAGCAATAGGTAAAAAAAAAAACAGAGGGAGCTACATAGACCAGACATGTCAAACTCAGGCCCAGGGACCAAATTTGGCCCGCAAAATAATTATATTTGGCCTGAGAGATCATATCAAATATATATTGGAGCTGGCCCCCCGGCTACAGATAGGCTATAAGAGACATTATTTATTTAAAATGTTGTTAATATTTTACATCATGATTGTTCTGGATTCAGTGTTTAAGCGAAACTATTATTAAACCTTTATTGTAAAAAAGAAAAGCTTTAACATTACATATCTCGAAAGAAGAGAAAACATGCAGATGCTGTTGAAATTTTTCAATAAATATTTAGTTTGGCCCACGACTTAACCCAGTTTTTAATTTTGGCCTCTGTGAATTTGAGTTTGACACCCCTGACATAAACCATGATCCTTTGCTTCAGTGTGACTAAGAAGAAATAACACTTCTAAGCACTTTTAAGTCTTAGTTATTTGGATTAAGTCTTGTCAAGGAATTTTAAGAGGAAAAAGTAGCATATTAACCTCCACAAAATATCGCAATAAATATCGAACTGTGAGATGTGTATCGTGAAAATATCGTACAGAGAGATTTAGATATTGTTACATCCCTAATCGTGAGCCTCCCCACCGTATCACAATAAATATCGTACCGTGAGGTTCATACTGTGACATTATTGTATCATGAGACTTGGATATCGTCACACCCCTACCTGTGATTGAATAAATGGGTCCGGTCAAGTGGTAACGGAGTGAAACAGGGGCAGATTTTTGACGTTCAAATGTCTCTTATTCAGAAACTAGAGGGACTATTGAAATAAGTAAAGTATCAGAATGTAGGAAAGAGTTACACTCCAACAGGGTCAAGTTAAACCTGTGATATTCTTTCAAGTTGTTGACAAAAAATAAAAAAAACTCATGTCAGTAACGGAGGGAATGAAATATGCAGCACTTTTTGGGCAATAAATCCAAACAGTGATAACTCTTGGTTCTCACTTCCATATCCTTAACAAACTGGTTTGAATATTTGCTTCATATAGTTTTCTACCATATGGTACAAGATTAGGTTGAAAAACTTCTTACTTTTTGAGTCATGAGATTTTTTATTAAGAAAGGTCATGGTAACGGAGGGAAAAGTAACGGAGGGAAAATTGTTCAAACAAGTAGAAGGTGCAGGATTTTACATCATTTGTCGCTTTTTTCTTTCAAATACTTTAATATTACTTCAAAATGAAAGGAAACTATTTCTATAAAATATGTCAGTCCTTCCAAGCAAATTTTTATCATTTTAAATACTTTTTTTTTTTTTTTTAAGTCATGTACCTTCATCAACAGTTCAAAGATGGAATAACACGAGATATGATGAAATACATCAATTTATTTACATGATTTTTGGGTCTTTGAAATTTGGGAAATAATTTTTGTTCCATGTTTCATACATGGTCTGTTTAAAACGGATGGAACTTTAGAACCAAAAATGGTACAGAAAAAAGGTCAACAGTTTGATAAACTAGAGTACATATGTATCTGTTCAATACATTTTTATATCAGATGCATTAACTTGAATTTTTGGCCTTGATGTTTACTTCTGCTTGACCGGGCCCAGTTGTAAAGTCGAGCTGTTAAATGTCACACTGTGGAACATTCCAGGCGGAGCAATAACATCTCCACAGAAACAAGCAGGTGGCAGATCCCCAACCAAAATGTTACACAGTGCACCTTTAAGTCTCCATGTGTCTTGCTCAGTTTTCATATCTCATCTGTCTCGCTTTTTGCCTGTAGAGTGAGCTCCAGAGCGAGGGCCTCTGTCGTGCCTCTCGCCCCAGCCCCGCTCACTCATCCTGGGCTTGTCCCGCGGGCTGACGGGGGGCAGGGAGCTGGAGGGGGCGCTGACCGGGACATAACCTCCACGCTCGGGGTCGACGTCTGTGTTTTTGGGGCCCACAGGAAGTGCACGAACTCTGGGCAGGAAAGAGAAAGCGAACCGCAGAGGTACGGAGAGAGGAGAGGTGAGGGAAAGGACAGAGAGGGAGAAGAAAGAAAGAGAGAAGGAGGGGGAGGGAGAGGAGAGGAGAGAAAGGACAGGGGACACAGAGGGGGGACAGAGGGAGAGAAAGAAGAAGAATGAAGTGAGAGTGAGAGAGACAAGAGGGAAAGGACAGGGGACAGAAAAGGGGAAGAGAGAGAGAAGAAAAAAAAGAAAGACGGAAAGGAAGAGACTGAGAGACAGGAGGGAAAGGACAAGGGACAGAAAGGGGGAAGAGAGAGAGAGAAAGATAAGTTAAAGAGAGAGAGAGAATTGGAGAGAATGAGAGAGACAAGAGGGAAAGAACAGGGGACAGAAATGGGAAGAGAGAGAAGAAAAAAAAGGAGAGAGTGAGAGAGACAGGAGGGAAAGGACAGGGGACAGAGAGGGTAAGAGAGGGGAGGGAGAGTGAGCGAGAAGAAGAAAGGAGGGAGAGCGACAAAGGAGGGGAATGGATAAGGGACAGAAAGGGGCAAGAGGAGGGAAAGAATAAGGTTCCAAAAGAGGGAGAGGGAAGAAGGGGGAGAGAGCGAGAGAGAGAGAAAAGGGGAAGAGAGAGGGAACAGAAAGAGGGAAAAGAAAGAGAGAAGATAAAGAAAGGGGGAAGAGAGAGAGAGAAGATAAAGAAAGAGAGAGACAGGAGAGAAAGGATAGGGGACAGAAAGGGGGAAGAGAGAAGATAATGAAAGGAGAGAGAGAATGAGAGAGACAAAAGGGAAAGGTCAGGGAACAGAAAGGGAGAAGAGAGAGAGAGAGAATTGGAGGGAATGAGAGAGACAAGAGGGAAAGGACAGGGGACAGAAAAGGGAAGAGAGAGAAGAAAAAGAAAGGAGAGAGTGAGAGAGACATGAGGGAAAGAACAGGGGACAGAAACAAGAAGAGAGAGAAGAAAAAGAAAGAGAGAGAGACAGGAGCGAAAGGACAGGGGACAGAGAGGGTAAGAGAGGGGAGGGAGAGTGAGCGAGAAGAACAAAGGAGGGAGAGCGACAAAGGAGGGAATGGATAAAGGACAGAAAGGGGCAACAGAGGGAGACGGAGGAGGGAGAGGATAAGGTTCCAAAAGAGAGGGAGAGGGAAGAAGGGGGAGAGAAGGGGG